CTTGGCTTGAACTATTCATAGACCATATAAGAAGATATATATGAATGGTTGAACTCTCATTTGTTCCCCCTTTATCTTTTTGATATTTCACTTTGGTAAATTTGGTGAGATCAATAATAGATGTCACTAACTCTTTTACTTTTATTTCAAAAAAGACATTTGTTTTAGTTTAGATCTTTTTATTTGATGAGTACAAAACTAATACTAAATATCAGTACCAAGACATCATTTCACAAGTCTGCACCACGATTCTACACTGCTATGAACTTACCTTTGTTTTCAACGAGAATATATATATCTTTTGCAATAAAGTTTTCCTTAGCTATTTACCCTTGAGATTTTTTTCATGGTATATGATCCATGCATGATGCACTTATGAAGAGATATTTTACCTCCTAGAGAGTGAAAAGTTTCAAACATGACTTTCATAAGCTACCTTTTAAGATAATTGTTTTCTTGAAAAACAAGCTAAGTTTAGGGGGAAAATTACTGAAGGAAAATGAAGAAAATTACTAGAATACATGTGTAGAGAAAAATGTTTTTGGGAACGTGGCTGATGGGGAAAGTGGTGGCTACAAGAGATGAGGAGAAAAGAGAGTAAGAAGAATAGGAAAAAAGGAGAACTGAAAGAGAAAAAATAGATATTTTTGTGCTAAATATTGTATGCTTGGATCTCTATTGCTTCGTAAGAAATTTTTACCAATTAGCCATAGCTGAATTTATATTTTCAACTGTTCAGTTCAATTCAGGTCAATTCCTCTGAATTTGGAAATGATATAGTTTAACAATAGTTTCCTAATTATCTCCTTTTTCTCCTACTTTATGCTTGCCATCTGCACGAAGCAACCTACTTTGCTTGGTATTTTTCACTACCGCAAAGATAGCCCTCTTTAGTATATGCACTATTAGCTGGCATTTGCTCTATTTTTGGGGATTCTTTATTTTTTTTTCCCTTGATTTTTGCTGCTTGAAGATGTGATATGTCTTCTTTGAGACTTCACATTGACGGATGAGCATAGAGGGAGCAATATTTTCTTATTTGGATGACAGATGGAAGAGGGGTATAGTGAGAATGCCCCATTCTCTATTGAGGATTTGATGCACAACAACCCTGTAATGAAAAATACACAGACACGTATCGTTCGAGATTAATTTTTGTTTGTTGTTGGTCATTACACTTGTTGATTTTCAAAGTATTTTTTCGGTTTCATATAAACCGTTGTATGCGGTAGTTACTTGCACAGCTGCAGCACTGTCACGAGAGTGTATTTGCACCGAAATATTATGGGGTCTGCTTTGTTGATTGGCAAATATGGGATGCTAAAATCACTGATTCTAGGTTCGCAAAATACTTCAATCATGTAAAAGAGCATCCTCTGTCAAGTCAAGTTGTCACATTTTGGTAAAGAGCCTCAGAACTTCTACTAAGTGCTCCAGATTATGGAATACATACTGATCTTTGAAGTGCAGGTTGCCTCATGGCTTAAATGTTAGTAGGTAAGTCTGTTCTGCCTGGTGGTACTAAAGCTTTGACATTTTCTTTCCATTTAGTGAACTTAATTTTGTTCCCAATGATATATGCTCAGATCATTGATATTTAAAGTCCATAATAATGTGAAATACCCATCCATGAATTTGGCTTACATTGCAGGAAAAGCTAGATGGACTATGACTGGAGTTTCAGCTGTAGTAAAGGGAAAGACAATGAAAATATTCATTAATGAGAGGTACGTAATATGTATTCTTATATTCATTTTTTGTATAGGTAGTATCATATGTTTCAAGTATTGGGTTTGCTACTATGTTTAACACTTGCTGATTGTAAATGATAGCGCTCTCTACTTTTTGTGTATTTTATGTGTCCTAATTCGAAAGATATATATATATATATATATATATATAACACTTGTTGATTGTAAATGAGAGCGCTCTCTACTTTTTGTGTATTTTATGTGTCCTAATTCGAAAGATATATATATATATAACACTTGTTGATTGTAAATGATAGCGCTCTCAGGTTGTCTTCCATTGTAAGTGTATCTTTCTAATCGGAAAGAAAAATAAACATACTTAGTTAAATTGAGGGAGTGCTTACCATGGGAAAGAAGAACAATCACTCACATGTGACTTAATAATGGCATTTAGATTGCTATAATGGATATGATACATCATTTCAATCATCATCTTATTAGTACAATTAGAAAGTTATTTGGCTTCTGAAAAAAGTCTGAGAAAACTAGACTTGAGTTCAACATAATGTTCATTGTCGCACCAGATACTTAAAATTTTGAGTTAGTGTATTACAAGTCTGAGAAAGCTAAACTTGAGTTCAACATAATGTTCATTGTCGCACCAGATATTTAAAATTTTGAGTTGGTATATTACAAGTCTGAGAAAGCTAGACTTGAGTTCAATATAATGTTCACTGTCGCACCAGTTACTTAAAATTTTGAGTTGGTGTATTACAAGTTTGAATAGAAACACCATGGTAGTAAATTGCCAATGAAATATTATTGCAGAGAACTGCATTGTTTGTAGCTAAATATTGAATGCCCATCTTCAGGGAGTTCTGAAAGTGTTGAAATGAAAATCTAGAAAAACAATTTCATACTTTGTTATTTTAGCATCACAACATCCCAACTGTAGAAGGACTAATGCAAGGCATGTAATGTGGGCATTCAAAATTAGATTCCCTCGGACAAGATTTTTCTGAATTGGCTCCGTGTGAGTTTTTCTTGAACAAGTATCCTAGGAATTTTTTTTGTGTGCAATGCGGGAAGGGTGTACAGAATGATTGATAGAAGGTATCTATGGATTAGGAATCCCAGCTTACAGTATTTGATTTACCCATGTGATGATATTAATGAGTTGGAAAGATTAAATAGGGAACTGATTTTAAAGTAAATTGATATCTTGATTCTTTAGTTGACATTTATAGTTTCTATTATATTTCAATTGAAAACATAGGTCAAAATCTCTATGTTAGTGAACTCTATAATGTACAATTGTGGAATTCTTATCATATTGAGTTGCTCTTGAACGATTTATTGATATTGCCTTGATTAGAGAAGATGTTGAGAACAACTTCAGCTGCATGTGTTAAGACTTAATTTTTGTTTCAACTTCAAATTCTTTTTATGGAGCCATGAGTCTCCTATTAATTTATTTATTCTTTTTCACTGAACTTTACTTCTGCCCCCAATTTAAGTGGTCTCTTTAGTTTGTGTACACAACGGATAACGTTTTGAGATGAACACTTTCAAGTAAACAAGTGGTGCTTGAAGTTAATTTTTGATAAGCAGATTTTGAAAAAATAAATCTTTTTTATGGGTCTTCAATTTCTTCAAATGCTTATAACCAGTGATTACTAACCTTGGTTGCGCAAGTGAATTTTTTACTTATATGTTCATAATCAGATTAGTTACTATTTATTCTGCTCCTTGTAATTTGTTTGATCAATGATGATAATTTTCTTCAAATTTGATATTTATTCCTTTAAGCGTATTTTAACTGCAGATATAATTGTTGCTCTGTTAAATGAAGTGAACAAGCAGGAATAATTCTCGGTGGGGGGCCTATATGAAGCTGACACTTGCCAATTCTGACAAATTCGAAACACGCAGCACTGTAAGTTTGTCACAAATCCAACAAGTTAAAAGTATATTTCATAATTGAAAACACTTCCTTCTGCTGTGCACCTACGATAATTGACGATATGCTCATTTTTTTTGGTTTTCCACGAGAAATGAGCCAACTGGATGGACAATGTAAATTGAGATTTCAACCTAACAAGAGAATACTCAAAAGAAGAGAAAAGAGAGTCCAGTGAACTCTGAGGGAGACAACTTATGCAAGAAGAAAATAAAGGGTCAATTATTACTAATAATAGCATTAAGGTAATTAACTACATTCAAGAAAGGGTATAGGAATTAAATATTCATTCCCTCATTTCATACAAGAACATACAACATCAAAAAAGGAAAAAATAAATGTACAGTTGATGTTTCTCATGGCAACATTGGATAGTCCAGAAGTTGTGAAACCACTAGAATTTGAATGACAGATAAAAGCAGAATGTTTCCAACAATGTCTTGAGCATTCTCCTTTCCTTTTCTCTTTTCGATTTTTTTGGAGTTGTGTCAACATTTAATGTCTTCTACTTTATAGATGATTTGTTATTGTGTACAATTAATAAATTCAATGAGCATACTTTGTTCCTTACCTATTAGATCATCCTTTTTACTATTACACACGTAATTTGAATAAATTGTTTCCTTGTAATTTGTGGTATATATATTTTTCAACAATAAAATTTATCATCAACGGTGAGCAGATTTATTATGTTGGGCCCGTGCTCAGCATGGGCCATCCCCATCTAGTATAACTAAATGTGCCACTTTTCATAGATCTTTTTAATAATTTATAAATAAAAAGAGGTTCAAATACTCATATTTTTAGATTGCATTAGCTATGTCTAGACCTTAAGCTAGAAGTGTCAATAAAGTCAAAATTTACTTTTTACTTTCTTTTTCTCCTTTCCTTCTTTAGACGTTTTTCTTATTTATTTTTTTAACTTTTTCTTTTGACTTTTCAAAGCCCTAAACTAAAAGGTCAAAAAAAGTAAAGACATCATATTATTCTTCTTTCTTTTGGCTTCATTCCACTTTGTTGTTCATGGTGAAGTAGAAGTGAGATTTGAGAACAAGTAACAAGATATGCTATCTAAAAAAGAAATTTATTTATTAATGTACTTCATTTGTTTTATATGTTTTTTTTTATTTATGAAGTGGTGCCATTATTTGATTACTTGAATATTTAAATTTATAAGAATTTCTTGATTTGTAAATAGTTATCTAATAATTGTGATTCTTTTATTAGTAAACTTGTTATTTGTGCTAATATTTTTTTAAAATTATTTTGTTTTGATAAGATTGAATAGAAGTGTGAATATTTAATTTTGTAGGTAAAATAATTCTTACATTCAAATCATCAAATCACATATGGATAAGTTTCTCATCAAGTTACCAAAGCCAAAAGATGGCCAACCAAGTTCTAGCTCTAATCAACCATTTGTGAGTTCACAAGTTGCTCCGGAAGTTCAAAGACATACAAATTCTTTTCTACTTTCAAATACGGATAATATGCTTGATTTTAAATCTCTTGAAGCAGATCCCAAAGATCGAATGCCTATTTCATCTTATGGTCCTAATATTCGAGATGCGGTGAGGAGGTATTACATTCAAAAAAGCCATGTCAACCTGTTGATCATATCTTCCCTAAAACTAAGTTTGGAGATAAAATGCGTCAATTTCGACCAACTTGGTTTAAGAGAAGATCTCAATGGTTGGAATATAGCATTAAAGCAAATGCGGCATTTTGTTTGTGTTGTTATTTGTTCAAGAATGAACTTGAAAGTCGTGAAAATGCCGGAGATTCATTTACAAGAGATGGTTTTAGGTGTCGGAACAAAGCTTTAGAAAGATTCAAAAAACATGTTGGTAAGGTATATAGAATCCATCATAAATGTTTCAATAGGATGCAAGATTTGATAAACCAACGGCAATCGATCCAATCTTCTTTTGACAAGCAAAGTGATAAGGCAAGAAGTGATTATCGGATGCGTTTAAATGGCTCAATTGATGTAGCAAGATTTCTCTTGACATCGAGATTTCCATTTCGTGGACATGATGAAAGTGAAGGTTCCGAATATAAGGATGCTTTTCTTGAACTTTTGAAATGATATGGGGATAGAAGTTTTGATGTGGGAAGAGTAATATTAGGTAATGCTCCACAAAATGATATGATGATTTATCCGACAATTCAAAAAGATATTGTGGAGGCTTGTGCTAAAGAAACAACTAAGGTTATCATTGAAGACTTGGACGGTAATTATTTTGGAATATTAGTTGATGAATCAAAGGATGTTTCTCATAAGGAGCAAATGACTCTAATTTTGAGATATGTCAACAAAAGTGGAATGGTGATCGAGCGATTCTTGGGTATTGTCCACGTAAATGATACATCTTCTCAATCATTAAAAAAGGCAATTTATTCTTTGCTTTTGGATCACTCATTATGTACATCCAAAATACATGATCAAGGTTATGACGGGGCTAGTAATATGCAAGGGGAAATAAATGATCTCAAGTCTTTGATTTTACAAGATACGTCATCTACATATTATATTCACTGTTTTGCTCACCAATTGCAATTGGCACTTGTAGGTCTTTCCAAAAAGAATTCGGATGTGGATAATTTTTTCTATGTTCTCATTAATTTTTTGAATATTATTGGAGCTTCATTTAAACGCAGAGATTCACTTCGACAACATCAAGAAGATAAGTTGGAAGAGTTGCTTAAATTTTGAGAAGTTCATACAGGGCAAGGTTTGAATCAAGAACGTGGCCTCCAACGACCGGGTGATACTCGTTGGGGGACTCATTTTAAAACCTTGGACAATTTCCTAATTCTTTTTTCTTCAATTGTTAGCGTGCTTAAGGATATGAAACGTGATTGTCCATATCATCTTGATAGATTTGCGGCGAAAAATCTTTTGAGCAAGATTCATGAATTTGAATTTGTCTTTATGTTGCACTTGATGTTTAAGGTGTTGCTATTGACGAATGAGTTGAATAAAGTTTTACAAAAGAAATATCAAGATATCGTTAATGCTATGGAATTGCTTGACCTTTCAAAGAAACGATTGCAAATGATGAGAGAGGATGAATGGGACTCTATGATGGATGAGGTTAGCTTATTTTGTGGTAAACATGGTATTTCAATTCCCAAAATGAATGAAGACTACTCTAATGGGAAGTTGAAGCGTAAGAGGTCCAATATTTCATATTTGCATCACTTTCGTGTGGAAGTATTTTATGTCGTTATTGATTTGGCACTTCAAGAACTCAATTATCGTTTTGATGTGGTGACTGGTGACTTACTCCTCGGTATGGCTAGTTTGAGTCCGGTTGATTCATTTGCTAATTTTCACAAGGATAGGATAATGAAACTAGCCGAGTACTATCCAAGTGAGTTTGGTGATAAAGAGCTTCGGTTACTCAATTCTCAACTCGGTGATTTTATTGTCTATGCTCAAAAGTGTGATAGCAAGTTTCTCAACTTGAAGGGAATCAAGGATCTTGCAAGAGTGATGATCGAGACAAAACTAGATCAAACTTGGCCACTTGTGTATTTACTTGTGAAGCTAACTTTGATTATTCATGTTGCTACCGCACGCGTGGAAAGAACATTCTCATCCATGAAGTACATAAAGAATGATTCGCGTAATAGGATGGATGAAGATCTTTTGAATGATTTTTAGGTTGCTATATAGAGCGTAGTATATTTAAAAATGTAAGTAATGATGCCATTATTGACCGTTTTCAAAATATGAAAACTCGTCGAGGACAATTGTAAGTGAATGATGTCTTTTGCTAATATATTACTATATAAAGATTGCTACTACCTACTTGCTTGTCAACTTGTTCTCACCGTAAAATTTATATAATTGAATTAATTGTCTATTTTAAAGATAATGATGCTCCCATGTTCTTGAGATCCTGGATACGCCTCTGAATTTAAAGTCCGATTAATTTGCTTTTATAAAGCTTCATTCCATATTCAATATGTCACAATTATCACACCTTTGGATGGTTTGTAATATTATACTGATTTTTAATTTAAATATAATATTTATTTTAATTGTTAATTAAATTTTATGATAGCATATTGTTTGAATCCACCGTTAAATAATAATGAAAAAATTCATTTTGGTATAACAATGAAGAGGTCTCTATTCTCAACTGTTTTCTTCTGGGATAAATTTGGAAATGGAATTAGGTATTTTAGTATCTCAATAATTGATATTCTTTCCATTTAGATTTATCTATCAAATTTTGATTTGACACATTTATTTAAAAATAATAATAATTGGTATAGTCAATACTTTCTTCTCCGCTAAGGAAAATATGTCTCCACTAAAAAAATCTAAAAAATAAGTAATTTTCTTATTTATTTTTTGACGTTCGATCAGTAAAGAGATAATATATTGTCAAACGCATGTCGGAGATCAAAGACAATATTAATAGGTCCCGTTAATTAATAAGGGGTTGTCATGTTTCCAACTGCAATGACAAATAGGGACAACCCTGGAAATTTTTCATTTTGAGCGAGGTACAATCGACAAAATTTTATTTTCTATTTATATTCACATTTATTTAACGTGTTGAATTTAAGTTGTATAAAAAAAATATTATTTTTATATTATAAGACAAAATAAAATTTGTTTACACTATTTTCTTTAAACACGCGTTACTTTTAAAAATAGTTCTATATTATAAGATAAAATAAGATTTATGTATATTCTATTGTATTCAAACCGGAGTTATTTTAAAAATAGATATTTGATATAGGACTGAGAAAAAGACTCGAAAAATGTAACAAAGTGAAGATTTTAAAAAGTATCTTATGATATAACGAGCATATTATTAGAGTATTATTTTTATCTTAATGATGTTAAATGAATAACAACATTATATAGTACGAATTTTATTTTAATTTGGAGCAAAACAATCAAATTTCTACATATTATACTTCTATTAAATCGTACAAAATTTATATTAAATTTATTGAATACGTATTTTTACTATATTTTATTTCTAGAAATAGTAAATTAATGAAACTTCGCATTGATATCTTATTTGACATTTTTATTAAAATGATTTTTTATCAGTATATTTCAATATACGTATCAAATGACTTCTTATTCCCTTCATTACTTTTTTACTGTACACTTCTCGACTTTCAATAAATTCTCTATGTCCCAATTTATGTGATTTACTTTCATTTTTAGTCAGTCCCAACAAGAATGACACATTTCTATATTAAGTAACAATTTAACTATAACATATTTATTTTACCCTTCGTGGAATGATTTACAGTCACACAAATTTCTATCATTCATTTTGAACTACAAGTTTTGAAAGTCTTCTTTTCTTTCTTAAACTCTGTGTCAAGTCAAACTACCTTACATAAAATAAAACGGAAGAAGTAATATTTAAATTTATTTAATTGAATATGACGTAGACCCCACAATTTTCTTGCAATATCCCACTCAAATTTTACCTTCTCTCTCCTTTTGGTTTCATTTACTGCCTTAACTAACAGTTTCCCACCTCCACCCCCACAATTCACATGTCGAAAAATTAGTGAAACCTCATACAAGTTTTGTTGATTTTACCTCGCTCAGAATTAAAAAAATTGACAACCCTGGCCAAATTTATGGTAATTAAGTGCTACAAAACTTTGTATCCAATAATTAAGTTACAAAAAAGATACTCTACATAATTTTAATTTTAAAATTTAATAATTTTTCACTTATGTATTTTATACTTCCTCCGTCTCATTTTATATGTCATATTTTTACTTTGCACTTGTATTAAGAAATGATGTAACTTTACCCTTCTACTCTTATTTAATTTTTTTGAAACTCAAGTTTTCAATCAATGAATATGAATTTTATTTTGATTAATTAATTTAACCAATGAACATGAATCATTTACTTAGCTTTTCTAAGTTGGTCAAATGTATATTTTCAAGGCTAATAACTCACAAGGGTAAAAAAGGAACAATATGATAATTTATGCATTAATTTTATCAAATGACAAATATTATGGACCAACTATTTATAGAAAGGGATGACATATAAAATGAGACGATGGAGTACATCATTTCAAAGATTTTGTGCTAAGATCTATCATTGACAATAAGCAATCATTGCTACTAGATTATTTTAAAGAAGAATTAACTTAAACAGATGCTCACACAACTACTTAAATTAAAAATAAATAGCGAATGTATAATATAGATATAATTTATGGATAGTGTATGTATAATCCATGCATATAAGTTAAAGAAAAGTAAATAGTAGATTTGACTTATTATTTATATAAATAGTGTCAGATGTAACATTATATTTGTCATCTAAAAAAGATATAACGTAATTATAAGGTCAGTAAAACGTATAGAGATGACAATAAGACGGTATGAATGTGGGGCGGTGTGGGTTTGACATATGCAAGGTGGGACAGGTTTAGATATATGCAGGTATGGAGCGATGTGGGGTGAGTTGAAATTTAAAATTTTCAATTTTATGCGGGGTGGGTGTGGGTTAGGGTTAGGAATTTCTAATTTTTTTGTCTGCCTTCGTTCTTTCCTCCATAGTTTTGTCACTTTTGCTTTTAAGTAAAACACTGAAACTTTCTTTTGATTTTTTTTTTGTTGCAAAAAGATATTTATTTATATATTTTACATAATCCTTAGTCCTTACATCTGAAAAGGGTACATATCCATCTTATGGAAATTCTATTTACTCATTTTTTGAAATAAAATATTATAGATTTGGAAAATGCATAAGTACGGAGTACTATATATTTCTACAATTAACAACTTATAAAATTAACAAAGAAATTTCGATCAAACCTAAAAATAATATATTATTGAATCTCGAAATTTCAACTGTATTACATAAATTGAAACAAAAGAATAATATTAATGATCCGAGAAAATCATATTATTTAATACTATAATGGGTACAGTGAATGTGTTATTTCAAATTCAATTTCTTTTAGTAGAATCAAAATTTGATTGCAACTTTGGTGAAAATAATAGAAGAAACTTAAGTGGAGCAGGGCGGAGCACGTGGAAGCGGGGAGGATTGAAATTTTGCAGTGGAGATAAAACCCGCCCCGCCTGCACTCCATCCCGCCCTATTATCATCCCTAAAAACGTATCCATAGTCATTTGGTGTGTGACATAAGGTATAATAATTCAGAATAAAATGCAAGATTATTTTGTTATGCATTTGGTTGAAGGTGTTAGATAATCGTTAAATTATTTATCCCACTATTTATACATTAATGATGAAATAAATTATCTCATATACATAATATAATAACTTATTCCGAAATAACTTAACAAACAAAAAACCCCCAAGTGTCAAGAAAATGAAAACGTGGCTTAGAAATGAAGCGCCCACCACATATACCGTTGACATAAATCATTAGCATTCTTGTCCCAAGTGTTCCCAAAAGAAAAAATTAAAAAATATTGCTTTCTTGCTTCAAGAGGTTCTTGAAAATAAATAAATCTTGTTTTACACAAAAAAAAAAAAGATTCTTGAAAAGGAATATATATAGTAGGGTACTGAATTAATGAGAAAGAAAAATAAAGAAGTGGAAACAATAGGTTGTATAATAGGACTATGCTCCATATATTCAGAAGGGTGTAGATTTGCAAGGCTATTACTTGTAAAGCTAAGTGTTATTTTTCATGGCAGAGCGTCAGACAGAAGATCTAATTGATTTTAAGGTTGCAAACATATCAGAGAAATACAAGTGGAGAGAGAGCGAAATGAGTGAGCGACAAGTGGCAGCTCTGAGGAAGTTTTGAGAAATGTAAAGAGTTATAGATGTTGTAAAAATGTTAAAGAGTTATAGATGTTGTCCCCTTCATGTCCTTCCTAATGTATTTGTTAGAATCACTGAATTTACTTATTTTCTGATTTCCCACCTGAAGTTTGCTACCAGTCCCACATTGGAGTAAAAGTATTCCCTAACAAAGGTGGGATCATACCACGGGCTCAAACCAGAAACTCTGGTTAAGAATGACAGTGTACTTACCACTTTCCCCGAACCTTGTCTGTAGCACCAAACAAGTTTTACATACTAGTAACTTTGAAACTCGGAAGATTAAAATACTTCAGCTAGGTTAAGAATAGTCACTTCTCCAGTTTAGGGTATGACAAAGACCATGTTGGAATTGAACATAATTTGGAGCAGAAAAAACCTATGAGCTGAAGGACAAACAATTCATAGCAAGCAATTTTACCAAGTAAGAATAGCAGGTAGTGTAACTGGATTATACAGCTGATGATATATTATGCTGCATAATCAAAAGACAAGTTAAAAATCGATTTCCTCTCGAGTAACGAAAACAAGTACCAAACCGAACTTACCTGACCAAATAGGTCAACCTGTGCAACCTATAAACAAGAAAACTAGACACAAAATCAAATTTCAAGCCACATTGAACCTTCCAAATCAGAAATCAACTTGAACTCACCTAAATTAAAGCCAATTATGCATACCTGCAAATTCCAACTCTAAAAGCAAAGAGAAACTGACTATGAAATAATCTCAAAACTTCAGTCAAAATTGCCAATGACATAATTCCTTTGTTCTACTGTTCACTTGAGGGATATTTTCCTATGTTATTTTTACCTTTTTGTTACTACTTTAGGGTGGTACAAGAGGTCGTTTGGTTGCTAGTTAGAGAGGAGTTATTCATGTATTAAAAACTAGCATAACTTTGTGAGTTGTTTAGTTACAAAATGAGGAAACATAATACTCATGTAGAATCTAGCATAAAGTATACCATGTTTGGTTGATTTGTTCTCTTTTCACACAAAACATAGCATTGCTAATACAATGCTTGGTTCATGTTTTTCTACGCATAACTAACACATGTATAAGTTAGGAGGAAATCTATGCATTATTTTATGCAAGGTAGAAAGTAGAATAACTAAATCATGGCAACTTAACCTAGCATAACTAATCTTTGTACAACTAATCCTTCCATTCTAATACCAATATCTGCATAACTAATCCCTACATTATTAATACATGCATAGCTAACCTCTGTATCACTAATACATGCATAACTCTACCTAGCAACCAAATGAGCACCAAAGGGCAGGGGGAATTTAAACATCATACTTATAAGTAGATTTTGTTTTACTCATAGAATGTATGCTCTGCTTCTCATTGATTCTGGCAAGATGCCAAATGATAGAACATCAACTTTTCTTTGCATATTTAAGAGTATATGAGTCTCCTCAAGATGTCGACAAATGTTCCTACTAACACACATAAGATTGCACACAGTATTCCAAGAAAAGAAAAATAAAAAAGCCCATTCTTAGAGTGGCGCGAACTTCTTGAAGTTGCTGTATTACCTGCTGCCACAACATTCATGTTCCTGGAGTTTATTCTCATCTTACTAAAGCTAGACATGCGCTTAAAGGCACTATTAACCACTGGACTTTCAGCAGCTATAGCAGGAGAAGTAGGTATAGAATCCACGAAGGCCCACAACTGAGAGGTCAACCATGATGGTGTACCATCATCTTGATTGGGTAGTTGATTTTGATTTGCGCCCATAGGATGATTTGCCAAAATACTATCATATACAACACCTAAAACATTGCCAAAACTTTAAAAAATTAGGAAAAAAAAAATCTAACACTAATATATTAGCAGCAGCAGAGCTCTTGCTGGCTCAAACTCCCCCATTTCCACTTGGGCAATAGAGTTCTCGCCATGCTGAAGATGACATGGTTATTCTTATACCATCATCTGCCAAGAGCTCCATAAAGTCAGATCACATAGAAAATGTGTTTTATGAAAATCGTAAAAGATCATTAATACAGCATAGGCCAAGCAAAAGTTGCATTATTGCTGTTTGAGATCATTTGGGTACCTGAAGTAGCTGGAGGAACAACCAACTGATTTGCCTCGCTGGGGTTAAAGATGTTGAACCTTTGATCGTGTGTCCACAGTTGATTGCTAGTCTGTTCTCCCTCATTCAAATACATTAGCTGGTTGTTCGTCATTTCATGCTGAAAAGTGCTTATATATGTTGTAGAAGCAGGGTTTTCAGAACCATTCACAAAGTTGTTCATGTATGGTTCAGTAATTTGCCCAACTTCAGTTGTTCTTATATCATCAAGCAACGGTGCATCATGAAACAGGTCAAACTCTGACAACCCATCTAAAAAATCGAATTGCAAATCTTCGAAGTTTCCAGCAGGCATATCAAAGTTTTGACCACTTGGTCCTGCCTCATCAAAGTTTTTAACATACAGCTCCAAGTTATCAAAGTTCTGAGTGCTTGGCTCCGGACCAAGGAGGTCATTCATCTCCAGAAAATCTTCACGGAAATCCTCTTCCACCACATGTAGCTGCTGTTCATAAATAATGGGAGCAGATGTGACTTCTGTTACCTCATGTAACTGTAGCTGTGATGTGCCTGACTGTGTCAAGTCAAAGCTTTCCTTTGCTGGGGCAATCACCGCACTGTGGTGGGGAAAATTAACTTCCTTTGCCGAATGATCTAGCAAGGTACTTCGAGCATCCTCCTCATGTACAAGCTGCTCCAGTGCATAATCATAATCTACAGAAAGTGGCTCCATAAGCACAGGGTTCAACAACTCCTCGAGTCCACCATCAACAGGAGCAGCATCCTGATGGACAACGCCTTTGGCACTTGGACAGTCATCATCAGCCCACTCCTCTTCTCTAAAAGGTGCACCATACTGCTCACCATTCTTAGGCCCGGAGCCACTCTTCTTAAATACCTTGTAAAGCGCATAGTAGTCCTGGGCATTTTGACATTTTTTCAGCTCTTCTTCATCCATAGTATACTCATGCATCACCCAGTCTGTCCGTTCACCTACTGGTGCTCGGCCTTTATAAAAGACTAGGGTCTTCTTAACTCCAACAGCACGAGAGTTGCACGTAATAGTTCGATCCTTTCCGGTAACTTTCCAGTGCCCATGCTTCGTTCCCCTGTTTGCCCGTGCTCCATTAGGATACTTTCGATCTCTGGGACTAAAGAAGAACCACTGCCGGTCCCCAGTTTTCAACTTAGATAGATCTGCAGTTCAAATAGCAAATCCATGAGTATACTATTCAAAATATTAACAAAGGTCATGAAACACTATCTACCACAATATGATTTTACAAAGCAGTACCAGTTAATTTTAGAACAATTAACAAGTGTGAATAAGATAAGGGTTACAAAGGAAACCAAAAGAGCGAAAAGCAAACAAAACACAAAAAAGGGAAGAATTTGGGTTAATAGCATTCAAAATGGTCACATTTACATTTGATAACCAAGGTAAAGAAATGCATGTCGAAGACTGGTTCTGATATTTCTAGACTTTCACGGATGATCTCCCCTGACTCAAGATCATGTTAGATCATAATTCTCAGATGTTCTTCAATCAATACAAATTCTATTAAAATTTTGTTTTGGAAAAACACATATACAGCTGAAGCTAACCCCCAACCAACCTAGAGAACAGAAAACACAGAAAGGAAAAAAACAACAATAAAGTTGAGAAATTAGGCCATAAACACAGGTACATGAAGCTATTTCAAGTAAATCTAATTCAACAAATGATCCTGTATAAACCAACAACCACCTTAGAAGCTCAATTACACAGCCAGACCTATAAGTACAATAAACTCAACAACAACAACAACATAATACCTTGATATCCGACAAGTGAGGTCTGGGAGGATAGGAATGTACGCAGACCTTACCTCTATCTCCACTACCCTCGTGGAGGTAGAGAGGTTATTTCCATAAGACCCTCGGCTCAAGTGCATAAGCACAATGAACTCCTCACAGCAAATATAAAACGCATAACAATTATGAAACAGAACACATAGAGGTTCATATACACAAACTACATGTAATTGTAGCTCTAAGAGAATTATAGAACATGCAATGCAATTAACACAAGAAAAATCACTACAATACATAGATCAATCACAACCCTCCACAATTAACAGCTCAAAAATCACAAACCCAAACACAAAGAAAATCAAAACCCATGATCAGATCAAGTCAACGACCCCAAAACACCAAGAAAATCAAAACCCACAATTCAAAAATCATATCATAACATACCAGGCAAGTCCTCCGGTTCCCATTTGTAAACATCAGTGTCAGCAATGGCATCAAGCAGAATCCTCTTCCGGCAGATCTTCTTCTTCAAATAGTACAGAACAAGTTCCTCGTCAGTCGGATGAAACCTAAATCCCGGTGGAAAAACATTCTTTGATGATGCAAAACCAGCCAATGAATCCGAATCAGATAACTCAAACATCTTCATCTCTTCACTAATCAAAAAAATTCCAATCACAAAATGATTCAATAAGCAAAAGGGTATCCAAAAAATATGAATTTGAGAGAAAAAATGGATTAGGAACCGAATTGGGACAAGTGATTTAGTCAAAAAAGGAGAAAAAATATAGTAGCCGCCAGGATGATTGGGGTTGTGGAGGAAAGTTCTGGGAATATATGGGGAGGTACGTGTTTGGTAAGACTGAAGCTCAGTGACCTTTTTGGATTAGGGGATTAAGCTTCTGTTTTCTTTCTTTTTTTGGACATGGGAATCCGATTTAATTTGAATTCGAATCAAGAAGTTTCATATTGAAGGCATTGAAATCGAATTAAATTTGAATTTAATTTAAATGGAGAAGTCTCACACAAGAGATAAAGCGTTGTCTAACAAAAAGCAACTTCATATCTTGACAACTTCTGCAATTTGTATTTGTTAGTCAAGAGAAGATTCCGTGAGAATACTAAAACTTATTGTTTGGACATGTGATATGAAAATTAAATTTATTTAAAGTTAAATTAGAATATGTAATTTGTTTTTTTTTTTAAATTATATATTTTTTTCATAAACATCAAAATACTTACAAGTTGTGAATATAATTTGAAATTTTTTAAATGTTAATATGATCTTAGCAAATGAATATATGAATCATAACAACAAGATATTGAAATATTTTAACGTTCTTTTTCTTTCTATTTTTCGTTTTAGAATAGAGATGGAGTAGAGACTAAGGATACGCTCTCTAGAAGATTTTCCAGGAGCTTTTTGATCGTATGCTATCTTGAAATCTCTTTGCTTGCATGGACAAAAGTGGAAAAGCGCTTCACGAAAGAATCATAATGTACCGTGAAAGATTTCTCATTAGGGATTTTGACCCTTCAGATCGGTACACCTACTTATGAAATTGCAAATCTCTATATTCACTACATAAATAAATATGTGTGATTTTAAACTATTTGATGCACATAATTTTATCAAAAATCATTATTCAATAAAATTAATAACTTATTATTCTTTTAATATAACAATTTCATAATATTTGACATAAACTTTAGCACGTGCAATACATAATCACCATATTAATGTTCATATGTCTATAGCTTAATAGGTTTTTTTTTTATTTATCTATATATTCGAGATTTGAATTTTATAATTTCAACTTTCAAAATTTTTTAATATTGAAAGGATCGTACCATTTGTGATTTTTAAATCTTTAAAAGTTTTCCTGCTAATGTCAAAGCAAAACTCTAATCCAACTTTCCTACTTAGAAGTAGCGTCACCTTAATCTTAATTTGCATTAGAATATTTAAAAATTACAACCAACTCAAATATTATATTTTTATTTATTCAAACCATTAGTTTGACAATTTCATGAGATTATTCCATCTTCATTGGAATATAGTATTTTTCAATTTTAAAATAATGTATCATATTTCGTTTTTCAAAAGTAGATTTAATTAATTGTTCAAACTAAATAGATTTTGAATAATTTAATATTTAAATACTTAAAAATTACAAAAAGTATTATGTATAGTCTATTTCTAGAAAGGCAAAATATAATAAATATTTTTCTATTTATAAAATATGACAAATATTTTGAGACGAGGATTAATATTATGTCATTGTGTTAGAATAATACGGTTAGTTGAACATGTGTGAACACATCAAATAGAAAGGAATAAAAGTGTTTTTTGTTTAATATATGTGATGAACACATCACGTTAACGAATAAAAGGATGCCACTTTAGCTTTTTCCAATCACTAAATTGATAAATTATACTAGCTAGTAAGTATACGTGCAATATTTGTGCATGCACTTATGATATACTATTCAATCACACCTATTAATTGTGATATTCAATTAGGAAAAACTATCTAGACATATTTTACTATCATATATTCTTATTTTATCTCTAGTTTAAAAAAATTACACATAATATCATTTTTAATATATATACCATATATTTTAAAAGATTTAATTAGATACACAAATCTCTTAATATGGTATTGAATAATTATCTTAAAATTTAAACTCCTTAATTAATGATACATTAGCAATTCAAATTAATTTCTCATCACCCTTATGCTCACCTCCACCCCAAGTACTTCACATCCACCCCATCTCTCTCTCTCCCCTCGCTAAATCGTGATAATCAAACATCATACAAACTCACATTCATTATTGCCATGGTACATACATATTTTCTATATATTAGTCATTAACTAGCTTCTTTTAGGTGACCAATATTATCCGGAAGAAGTTCAAGATTTCTTCACACAATTGTTGTATTAATGAGATAAATTATAGTATTATTTTTCATTATTCTCATGTATCTTGGTTTACATTCCTTTTATATACCCGAGATAGAGTTAATATTGGTATAAAAATTGATTTTATAAACTTTTACGAATTAGGTTTTGGTCAGTGCAGGGTCTTCATCCGCCAATATTCAAGCCGAAAATTTAATATACAAAGGAATGAATTGATGAAGAAGATGAATTGTACAATTACAAAATTACTATGATTTATGATTTTATTATTTCAGGAACACTTGTTAGAGTTGATACGCAATGATCCTGTAAATCTATTTGGTTTGTTAATTATTCATTAATTAATGAAATAAGTTACACTCCTTTAATTCAAAGTAATAAATTGTGTATCTCAATTTTTAAAATCGATGGATACATGTATCTCATGAAAAATGATACATGTATCTCAAGGCCGAAATATTCGAAAATTTAAGATACTAAAAAGGAATTAATGAAGAAGATGAAGTTTACAATTACAGAATTACATTTATGATTTCATTATTTTAGGGAAACTTGTTAAAGTTGATAAGCACAGATCCTGTAAATCAGTTTTGAAATTGATGGATACATGTATCTCGTGAGTAATGATACATGTATCTCAATTACTCTTCTGATTAAGGAAATTAGTTACAACTAATTAATTTAAACAAATGAAATATGTATCTCGATTTTAAAAGTCGGCAGATACATGTATCTCGCGTATTCAGACTCATGTATCTTAAGCATGAAATATGGTACAGAAAATAATATTTGAAACTATTGAGAATCTTAGTAATTAAGACCTAAACTAGTGGAATTTATGTAATTTGACCATTTAATTATTGTTATTAATAAGATAAGTATTTGAAAGGGAACTTACATATCATTAGTAACTATAATTTATTTGATTACAATTTATAACTACAGTTAGTGAGAGAAGAGAAGCGAGTGAGATTAGGGGAGAGAGGGAAAAGATGCTAGATACATGTTGTTCCAACAAATATACAATTTGATACACCGAATACTAATAAAATCGACGATCATAATCTGACATATAATGACAGATATAAATTAATACACACAGTATCATCTGTGTTCATTCGTTCTTGTATTATTTATTCATTCGCGATGTAAAAATATAAAAATATATGCTGATACAGAATGTATTCAGATACATGTAACAAATACTTACCCAAATATGATACATTTCAATTCTATACACAATTATTATGTCAGACAAACCTGATACATATATCATTAATATATTGTATCAAACATTTTAAACATTGTACCACTTACACATGTATCGTTGTTTGATGCCTGAAGATCGAAAAACATACTTATGATTATAGTATTTCACCGGAGGATACAAAAAGAGAAACTTGAGAGATATTTGATGTATACAACTACATTATAAAAATTATACAAATGTTAGTTGATTCACTTTTCGAGCCTTGATTTTGTGGAAAAAATATTTCAAAAGGAGAGATAGAAGGGAGAGCATGAGGAGAGCAAGAGAAATAGAAAGAAGAGAGATTTGGTATAAAAATTTTAAAAATAGATAATAAAATTTGATTCTGAACTTGATCTTATATTTCTCTTTAGCAAAAAGAATAAATTTATACTAAATTTCTTATAAAACATATATAAATAATATATTCAAATTATTTAAATGCTTTTCAATAATTCAATTAAGGTAATTATCGAACCATATCACATAGTTCTAGTCAGTGTTTTAAAAGGTGGGGCGTGAGGCAAGACGTTTTACTTAGTATAGGGCGAGACGTAAGCCCTATGGATCTTTAAATTTTTAATTTATAATATAGTATAATAATATAATAACACAAATTATAAAAATAAATCAATAGTTTGAAATAATTACAAATATGATTAAATAAACTAATAGAAAATAAAAGTTCTAACGTCATTATACAAGTATAAATAATCTAATATCTTAACTTTCTAATAATAAAAGAATCATTATTTCTCAAAAATATTTTTTTAATCATACTATACAATTTACCCCCTAAAAGAAAATAATTAATAACCTTACTAGTATTATCATAAAAACAGCACTCCATCATGAATAAAAATAAAATTACTTTCAAATAGCTAAATAAAATATACAGTAATAATTTTGAGACATATGACAAAACCATGAAGACCAAAGATAAATGAAAAAGTAAAATTTCGTGACATATTTTTAAAAGAAATATTACGTAATATATAATTACTTTCACAGTTTTACTTTTACCAAATAGGAAAGATGCAATACTAAAACCTGTTATTTGAGCTATTCTCAATCTTCTTATCTCTATAGATAAAAAATTATTAAGTGTCATTCAATTATTCAAGAATTATTAGGGTCAACAATGTTAACTTTTTAACACATAATTTGTGTAAGATCTGTTAGACGTGCCTCGAGCGTTGGGCGCGCTTAAGGCGTACAATCGAGCGCTTAGGGCGTAAGTCTTACAAAACTAAGCCTCACACTTGAGTTTCAGGCGTTTTGCTAGAGCCTCGAGGCGAGTCCCAACAAAAAATTTTAAAACACCGGTTCTAGTCCGGCAATAACAAAAGCCACAAAAGCACCACCTTTACATTATGATTTTTTTTTTATATATAAAAAAAAAAAAAAAAAAAGGTACAGTTTGTTTTATTTATTAGGAGTATTTAAATGATACAATAAAAATATTTTCACTTTTCCAAATATCTAGGCAATAGAAGTATCTAGAAATTTGCAATATCACCCTTCAAATTTCGAAATCTTCAGTATATAATCAAAACCTAGCAATTTCAAAACGGCACATACAAACATCTACTCTCTCAATTTTCCCCTCTAGCAACATCATGAGGTAATTTTTTAAATCTATCTATTGTGTTACATTGTGCTCTCTTTTTTTCGAATTCGCCAGGCGGGGTGCGTAGAGCTAGTTTTTATTAATAAATAAAAAACGAACCTCGAAACGTATTAAAGTATGCATTTTTAGGTTTTCTTGGATTGTTTTTTTTGTTAGGAAAGTTTTGGGTTTTCTTAGTTGAATTAAACCCTAAGTAGTAGTACTTATGATTTTGCTTACTTTGTTATGGATATTAACGTGGTTTGCTGAACTCTGTCTAATTGTGCATTGGAAGGCTCTGTTATATGTATATAGTTTGCTTTCTAATTGATAATAGAGGCGGAGCTAGGTGGGGGTTCGTGTACAAACCCAGTAATTTTCTGAATTTGTACTAGAAAATTAAATAAATATATATGTATATTAACTTATGAACCCCTAACAAAATTGATTGACAGTGTGTAAATACTTTTCATGCTAGAGTTGTGGGTTTGAAACCCCTCCCCTCTCTTTTTTAAAGGAAATTTAGAACCCCAAACTCTCAATCCTGGCTCTGCCTCCGCCTCTGATTGATAAGGTCACTTTGCAGAACTATTGGTGGATTGATATGGGATTGTTATGCTGTTTTGGTTAATAATACTCATGGATTATTATGTAGTGAAGAATAATGTATGAAGTGTTGGACAGTATAATAGATATTTATGAAGAGGTTGTCTATTTTAAGGGGACACTTATATAGCATTGCTAATGCAAGTATTTTTTTTATTTCACATTCTAGCAAAAAAATGTTTTCTTGGAAATTAATTGTTTTTATTTTTATATTTTGGCGTTTGATAGGTATAGAAAATATTGTTCAAAGAGCATCTATAAATAATTAACTCAAACACTAATGAGTGCAAAGGTGGGGTGGAGGGGTTGAGGTGAGTTAGGTATTGGGAGGGAGGGGGGAACTGGGAAGGGTAGAAGGCCCCGCTCCCGGGGTGCGGGGATAGTGTAGGGGCTGGTGAAATGGGGGTGGTGGTGGGCTATAAATAGTGTAGTTTTCTCTTTTGAGTGTATTCTTGCCTCCTATTATGTTTTGAGACCAGATTGTAGAGCAATTTAATTTCTAATAGAATCTTAGCTAATATCTTTTACCTTGTATCTTTAAGCTACTAAGGGAATAGGAACTTCATCTTTCACTCATGGTTAGAAAAGAAAATGAAGAGAACAAAAAGGTAGTGATTATTTTGGCTGAGATACTCGATTTGTCGTATTTCCTTTCGATAGATATATGAACCACAAGGACATTCCCTTTGTATTTGCAGTTTAAGATAACTTGGCTTCTTGCTAGTGTAGCGCCTCTTGATATTTTCTCAGTGAGGGTGAGCAAAATGCCTTTCCATGGATCTAGTATGAACTTGTTTAAAGCAACTTTAGAGTGTTGTTTAACCACGTATGTGGATGAAAATAGGTTTAGAGTTAGTTGCGAGGGAAAAATGGTGAAGGGAAAAGGGTAAGGGTTGACTTCATTTTGCCCTGAATTGTCTTTTATTTTTGTACACTTGAGGAATAATTTCAGTTAAGTGGGAGGTGCTGATGGTCTAATGGTGAGGTTGGAGTTGTAGAACGTATTTTCTAATAAAGAGTGCTCATTCAATCAAATAAGTCATTTGTTGGCCCTTCAAGTTGTTTATCTTTTACTTGACTTGATACTAGTGTTAGTCTTATTGATTTAAAAAAATGAACCATAGGCCTAATTCAATTTCAAAACCTAGCTCATGAGGTGAGAATTGCCTAAGACCATATGAGGAAACCAATGAAGTTGGTTGAGAATCATGAGATCTCAGATTTAAATCTCAGTTGAGGCAAAAATACTAGGCGATTTCTTTTCATCAAGTATTGGTGGATATAATTATTCAGTGATTGTGCTAGTGGGAGATAGCAGATACTTCATGAAATTGAGGTGCATCTAAATTGGTTTAGACATCATGATTTTAAAAAAAAATGATATAAGGAGACGAAGTCCTCCTTCACTATTGATGTGAAAATCTAGCATTCCCTCGCACGCCCTAGCCTACCAATTGGAGCGTAGACAATATACTATGGGTAGTCAATATTGGGTAAACAAAGAAGGCAAGAATTGGGATGAGTTTGGCTATGACACCATGATAAAAAAAAATGGACAATGGGCCCAACTCAACTCTAAAAGTTAGCTCATGAGTTGAGGATTACTCAAAGATCAAGGAGAACAAATATTACACATCCCATTGATGTGGCACAACTAAACACTCCTCGCACACTTTGGACTAGACATCTGAAGCGTGGACAATATAATATGGGGGCCAACGTGGTAATTAGTGACTTACAAGCTGTTAATACATAAAATTAAGCCAATTGACTGCTTCATCACCTCGTAGCTTTACACTGTTATTTGCGGAAGTTCACTTACTGAAGTTGCTGCATGCATTGTTTTTTCCTACCTACCATTTTCTAAGTGCTTCCTGCTCCAGAAGCGAGAAATTCAAACTTTCAGCAATTATCTAGTCTTGCATAGTCCTGGAATCAGACACTCAGATTCCTGGTCTTGGATCTTTTAAATTATCTAGACTGTTTAATTCTGGGCCTAAACAAAATTAACACTGTTCTGATGATGGATTCAGTTCAATTAGGAGCAAAATATAAATTATGGTGCTGCCGATGGCCTTCTCAATAATCTTCATAAAAATTATGTATGTCATGTGATATTTATAATGAAGTGCTGCATAATTGTAAATGACTAGACGGAAAACACACAGCTACTCAATTTTTATGGTTATTAGAGTTGAAAGTTCCGATCAATGAAATGTTTCCCTATGATACTATGGCTTATTGAATATATTTGTTCCATCTTTTTTTTTATTTCAGCCGACATCCTACTATCAAGTGGGCCCAGAGGTCTGACAAGGTGTTTATCACAGTTGAGTTACCTGATGCCAAGAATGTAAAACAGAAACTAGAACCAGAAGGAAAATTCTCTTTTTCTGCAACTGCTGGAGCTGATAATGTTCCATATGAAGTCGTTCTTGATCTCTTTGATAAAATAGATGTCGATGTGAGTAAATCTCTTTCACTTATTCTCCATGCTTAGATTTCGGTATGTTGTACCAAAATTTACTCCCTAATTAAACGGTCATTTAATTGTCGTCATTCAGGAGAGCAAATCTAGTATTACATCTAGAAATATCTGCTATCTTGTAAAGAAGGCAGAAGACAACTGGTGGAGCAGACTGATTAAGCAAGAAGGTAAATCGCCAACGTTTTTGAAAGCTGACTGGGACAAATGGGTTGATGAAGATGAACAGGACAATGAACGTAAGTAAATTTCACCACGGTTATGCCTTATTGATGATCTATAACACCAACCTGTGGTAATATTTACCATGACTTCAATTTTTTCAGCAGCTGGAGCAGATATGGATATGGGTGACATCGACTTTTCGGTAAAACATGAGTACACTGTAGTTATTTCTATTGATTTGTGCTGAACTTAGACTTACATTACCTTTTTCTTGATATTGCAGCAACTCAACATGGGTGGTGGTCTAGGGGATTTTGATGCTGATGAGCCTGAAGGTAAACCGGGTCTTTATCGTATGTTAGGATTGAGTCTTGTTTTATCTCCATTTTCGGTCTGATATATAGTGGATGTTGTTTTTGCAGAAGATGAAAGTGACACTGAAGAGGAAATTGAGGAAGGAAAGCATGAACATAGTGAATCTCAAGCAGCAACTCCAGCAAGCACTGAAGTTGAGATAAAAGCTTAGAAGCTCCCTTTACTTTTTTATGCTTTTGTTTAACTTCTAATTATTAGTATAAGATAAGTAGTTTTAACTAATGTGTCTTGACTATTGGTGATGGAGCTTATGTTTTGGCTTTGTTATTCAGTGTCTATGCATTTGGGATTATTTGGGAATTTAACTTGAGATAAAGTAGAACAATGGTATCATTCTTGGTTAAATGAAGTAATCTGTGATTTGAGGGTCGTGGGTTGAGTTTTATTCGCAAAATTTTCACTTGCCTTAACCCGGTGACCTAAGGAGGATTTTTGGCAAGAAATAAGCGCACACAACTGTTGTATGTTTTTCGAAAATCTTGTTTTTGTTCCAATGTTATTTTGTTAAACATGGCAAGTTTGTATCAATAAAACTTTGTTGATCATTATTTAAAATCTTCATCTAACCTGATTTGTCATACCCTATCTTGCCCTATTTTCTCTTGGAGCCATAACTAATAACGTTAATACAATATGAATACGCCTGAGATATTACTATCATTATTATTGGAAGTTGAGAGTCAATTGAATTGGATCCTCAGGTAATGTGAATCTGGTCTAGATCGATCCTTGTAAATAAATTTGAAGCATAAATTTTGGATGTATCTGAATAATCATTATGTCAATTGTAGTGTTCAATTGATACATTGAAGACGAGTTAAAATGTTTACATGTGCAGACTCAAATTTAAGTGTTTACTTGCAAGTCATTGCAGGTTGAGTGTCTGTCTATATATTATGCCAAACAAGAAGACAACGACATTCTCTTTTTCATCAAAACAGGGAAAAAAACAGTCATCAAGAAATGGGGACAAATGGAAGAGGCAAATAATTTTATTAGTGTGCCAGAAAAACAAGTATTTCACAAAGCGGCTACATGGTATCATAATATCTTTTCCTATAAATAATCAAAAATTTCATTAAGATCCAAAATAGATTCTCGAAGAAAGAAATTTGTATGATAACCCACATCTTAAATAAAAGTGAATTTTCAGACGGTCAAAAACTAGGACATTTAGGTACTCTGTAAGACTCAAATGTGTTATAGATTATAAGACAACAAAGTTATCAATACAATGAATACTGTTCAACCACAACCACGACCACTACCTTTTGACATGGAAGCAAACCAAGGTTTACACAAACACCCAACAAAAAAGGCAAGAAATAACAAATCTCAGGCGTCGGGCAATTTCATCTGCACCAGTTCAGCGGGTGGCCTCAGAGTACAAACCATTTCATTTGTCTTCCCAAAATATACCTGCAGGTTTAAGCAGTTTTTGAACTCAATTTCACGGTCTGTTTTAACATAGAAATGACACAAGGAAAAGAGGTCTCTTGTCAACAAAGCCTAAAGCATCCCCTTTGAGACCTTCCACCAATTTGGGTAAATTCATACTTACTCCAAAGTTATTTTCCATGTGAACCACGATTTCCCTAAACTATATTCACTACCCCATAACACCCTTTGGTCCACTTTCTGCCTCCTAAGCATTTTCCAGTAAGAAAAGCTAGTACCAGATAACACCCTTTTCTTCACCTTTCTGCTGCCAACTAAGCAGTTTCCAGCAAGAAATGTGCCTCGCATCAAGGGAGAATAACAAAGAGGTGCGAGTCATTGATTTCAATAATTACTAAGTCTCAGGAAGAACTAATTAGCGCCACATCGAAGGAAAATAACCCATCAATTACATCAAAGAAAAGGTAAAAGGAAAAGAGCTTCAAAGAGTAAAGACATATACCTGATCCAAGGAGTTTCTCAGCTTACCCTCCATCTCTTCAATCATCTTTCCCATATTACAGAGATGACCCTCTGAGACAGAGAGCTTCATACTCATCTATACATGCAAAGGAGGATCAATTAGGAAAAATTACTAAGATGTCCAGCTAATGTATTAATTACCATCCCATGGAATGAATAAGGACTTGCAGAGATCAGTTTGATGGGGGAACAAGTACAGGGGCTGAGCTAGGTTGTGGCAAGGGAGTTCAAATTGAATCCCCTTCACCATAAAATTATATTGTCTAAATAGGGTAAAACCGATTTTTTATTGTTATATATGAACTATTGAATCCCCTTAACAAATGGGTTGATGAAGATGAACAGGACAGTACACGTAAGGAAATTTCACCATAGTTCTGCCTTATTGATCATGACTTTAAGTTTTTCTTAATGTGGGCACGTCCTTTGCATCTTCATACTTGTTAAAAAACTCTCATGAAGTTATCACCCATACAATACAACAACATAATGCGAGCAAGGGAATTCTTCTTTTTCCAAGCTTGATATGCCTTAAGGTCTTTCACAAGTCGGGGCAGTATTACCACATTCATGCGGCGTCATAGACACATTAAAGCCTCATTTATTTTTATTGAGATTAAAAGCTTGAATCATAATACACATCTGAATAGAATATTAAATGTGCATTAAGATTTAGATGTTTGAATCGAAATACACATTTGAATGTTAAGAAACAAAGCATTATATAACTGCTACAACATCCATTAAATACCTGTCTTCTAATTGATCCAGACAAATTGAATGAGCCTGATGACTCATTGTCTGTAGTCAAGGTCAGCATCACTGTACTAGTCAGGCAGTACTGGACAATTTCTTCCTCTTCTGGTCCCACCTGAACGATTTGGTAACAATTTTAAGCCGTGCTCATTAATTGAACAAACAAGAGAAGGAAGAGAAGACCAAAGAAGTTCTCTCTTTCTTTACTCAGGAGCTAATACCTCAATAACATGTATGGCATCCCAGGCTCCTTCCTCGAGATACCCCCTTCTACCATGTCCAGTCTTGGAGCCATCTACATCCTCCAAAAAAATTGCAAATTAGAAGCAGAAAAAATATTCACTTATTTTTGGAAATCCAAATAGAACTTACCTTTCTTTATTAAAAAGCAAGAAACAAAACCTTCATTTTCATCTTCCCACATATAAACTGATGAGATGCCACCTTCATAGTACCTAACAGTGTTTTGGTCAGTGAAACTGCAGAAAATGCTGTGAATAACCAAGAGATGAAACTAGTATGGATGATATCTTCTTAGCTAGTCCTATCATAAGTTAACATGATAGGACAAATCTGAAAGAGATGTCCTAGATTCATCTAAAGTTTAAGACAAGCTGAATGAAATATTTGTGGATAAGAATTTAATTGGCACAAGGGAATTTGCAAAAAGAGGTTTTGCATTATGTAGCAAATGTTTTATTTGTGAGAGAGACGAAGAGAACGTCTGTCATATATTTTTGCACTGCCAAGTTATTACTCAACTGTGGCAGCTATCGTTACCAAAAAAAAAAACTGTGGCAGCTTTGCTTGAACATCACTATTACGCATTGGGTTATGTTTTATTTGTGAGAGAGACGAAGAGAACGTCTGTCATATATTTTTGCACTGCCAAGTTATTACTCAACTGTGGCAGCTATTGTTACCAAAAAAAAACTGTGGGAGCTTTGCTTGAACATCACTATTGCGCATTGGGTTATGCCAGAAACAACAACCAGCTTGATGAGATGCTGAACCAGAAAATGAAATAAGAAGAGGAAGCTACTATGGTGGAATACTATACTTGCTCAGTTGCTTGTAGATGGTGGACTTTTGGGACTGAGAGAAATAGGAGGTGTTTTGAAGATAGTGCCAACTCCATTCACAAGAAAGTTAATTGTATATTTTTGTTTTGTTTATGATGTAGTTTGAAACATGTAAATGAGGCTGATTCTACAGAAGTTAAAATCATTACAAGAATAGGTGGGGCATAATTTTGGGTTTTGTTTTCTGGCTATTTTGTACAGTTTGACAAGCACATTCTATGTGCTGGTTCATTTATAAAGCTTGGTACAATTGCATAGCAAGAAGAAAAGACGAGGTAAATAAGGGACCTCACTGGTCACGATAGATAGCAAAGACTTCATTTGCTTCAACCTCAAGTTTCCTCAGCTCCAGAGAAGGTTGAGGCGCATCTTCTAATGGTGGATGATACTTATTTGACCAAGGAGACCTACAAGTGAAAATACCAAAGTTATAGATAGAACATCTATCAAATGTAGCATAGGAATTGTGTCATTTTATGTCTTGAAATTTGGTTAATCTTGAAATGCAGTAGAAAACAACTAAACTGGCCAAACATGTACTCCAATGGTGTTAAGCTTATTTAAATCACCTGATATTCACATATTGGCTTTACTATCATGTCAATATGTTGTTAGCCAACTCTACAACAATCAAGAGCTCTTTTACTAGGAGGGTATTCTTATGGTCCAACATATGGAGAGTCAGCACTCCAGAAAATCAGATAAAGAGAATGAGTGATATAAACAGAGAAACTAAGACCTGTAAGGCCAAAAATCTTGGCCCACATACATGTCATCGGACTCATTTTTTGGAGAAGTCTCATCCTAATAAATTAAACAAAATTATTTATAAAAAAGCAGCAAAAAGATCACAACTACAAAATCCTGATCAGAAACACTTGTAACTAGTCCTGCCTTTATCAGAGGTTCTAAGGAAAGTTTAAGTGTTTGATGGTGGAACAATTAAAAGGTGATATAACCTAGGAGTAGTATTTCGTTGGATTGAGTCCCACAGGCTGACGACTTGGGGATAGAGAATCATCCGAAGTACAATGCATGCTGAGATGCTCCATGATGTGAACATCTGGCAAAAAGTTACCAGGTATAGGGCATCTGAAGAGTCAAGAGACATCATTTAAGTGGAGTGATGGTACAGGCAAGTTTCAAATATTTCAAGACAATTATGGTCAAATATGAAAATGGAACCCTATGAGGAACACATAACAAGAAATAAACATGGATGAAACCAACATTTAAATTGGTTGAAGCTGCCAAAACAAAAACAATGGACTTGTACACGCAAAGTGGAATTCCTGCCAAGCAATTCATTTGCATGAAAATATTATAATCATCTCTAGCGCATGATGAGCTATGAAAATCTATATTTGGGCAAGCAAGGAAATTTTAATAAGTCATATCAAAATGCAGTACGGGAAGAATCCTCTATGGGATTTGATGCCGTACAATATCACCCCAGTTAGATACAAGCAATTATTCAGTTACCTATATGAATCAGCATCTCTGTTATACTCACAGAGGATGAACTCTTTGCCGGACTCCATATCGCACAAGACCTGATAATCCAATTTCAAGACATTAGCTTTATCAAGATGAACAAATGTTTGAGACTTGATGAGCTCAAATACCTTCATTTATAGTAACAACTGACCAACATTTGCTCTAGCCTGAAGCTAGTATACACCAGTATATCACATGCACATATCATGGCCATTATCCATATTAAGTTTTTCTAAACCAAATAACCAACAAGAAAAGCGAACGAAAAGCGAAAGAGGAAAATATATGGAGCTTGTTTTTCCAAGAATGTAATTTTATGAAAAGATAAAATACCACGAAAAATCATGCTTCCTTTTGTCATGATATCAAAATGCAATTTGCAGTGGATATTTATCTTCTCTTAAAAATGTTGGCCATCCTCAATTCAAAAGGCCAGCATCAACAAATGCACAACTGTGAAAGATATAATATACAATTTGGCTTATAATCAAAGATAAAAAGAGGTAGCTCGGCAAAAGAAATGCCTAACCCCTCCAAGAATCATTATTCGGTACTGTAACCCAAGAAATGTAAGGACTCGGTATAAGAAAGTATCATCAATTTTTTTGCAAGAAAAAATAAATTATCTGAAAATGGAAACCCAACAGTAGGTTAAATCTCTGAATCTAAAGGAAAGATATGATGCAATGCAAGCACTTATCTGCATTAATATCTCATACATCCCATTCCCATAATTAATAGAGCAGCATGTAAACAATGTGTTAGAATCATTGTTCGAACCACTGTAACACTGAAACAGGAAACTCTTCTGGGTTTCATACAATTTCAAATGACAAATTTTCCAGTCCTTGAAGTGATTCTATATTTTCAATAGAAAGGTAGCTTTCATGCTTTCACTTATCTTCTTCTTTTCCTTGATCAAAAAAATGTTCTTTATCATTTTGTTTACCTTCTGAGGTGGTTGCTGATGATTCTGAACCAGAGTGATGCAGCAGTTAGCTATTTTATTTGAATTGGTTATGCAGATAAAAAGAGCCTCGTCCTGATTTGGTACATGTCTCAAACATAGATCATGTCCAAGTTGAGAAGAATTACTTATCCAAAACATGATAAAAAGTGGAGTACCAAGCAGAAGTCCAAACTCTATTAAATCAGTAAAGGAAATCACGCTATCAAGTTAGCTAAGCTGTACTGATGTTAATCCCACTATCAATACTGGAAGAGAAGAGGTGAATGTTCAACTTCCGCTGAAAGTGAATCATTCAAATCAATAGAGATTTGAGAATCTAACTAGATAGGGTTGGCTAAAAAAGATTCTTTATTGGTTACATCTTGTTAACTTCATTCCGATACTCAATAATTTGTATTTTTGAATAATTATAGATTCTCTTATACTAGGTCCCTCCATCTCATACTTATCCCTATAATTGCTGTAGTAATTTCTAATTAAATTTAAGAAACTCCAGCCAAACACGGGACCTAATGGAAAGCATAATAAAAACAAGTAAACTGCAATCTCAACTAATTGTTTTCACCTAATGGAAATTATTATAATAACATGTGATGTCATACACGCACACTCAAAAGAACCAGAGCGATATCGAAACTCAGGAAAAAAAATTATTAACTTTCCCCTTTGCAGTTTGCAATAACATTTTCAGTAGTCAGAGGAAGAGTATAGTGACTACAAATAGAAAAGATATGTGAGATCGACACTGGCACACTCGCAAAACCAAAATACTGCAGCAGTTGCAATTAAGTCAAACTGTTTTGCACGAAGCCACAACCTTCGCACATCGAGTAAATCGTCGACTCTTCTGAACACATTGTCACCATAAATCCTTACACAAAGCTAATTCACTCAATACAAATGCAGAATCAACTAACTCAAAGGAGTATTAAGTAATAATAGCTAGACATCATTACTTCAAAACTAAAAAAAATCAATCTGCACATGCATAAAACAACAGCTACACCTCCCAAACTAGTTAAGATCGGATACAGGAATCATCTGTATCAATTCCGCCAATTTCATTTCGATGCCCAATAAAAACAAATTAGGGTTCTCCAAAACAAGAGATTCTATAAATTGAAAACACAGAAATTTCAACAATACAAAAATGAACATATTCAATAATGCATTTTACAAGTTCAATTGCAAAGAGCTTTTTGCTTGTATTACCTGGAGAGGCTGATCAACTTGAGAAAGGAGATCTGAAGAATGTTCAGGCAAGAGACTTAGCAGAGCAGAGAGAGCAGTTTCTGTATGCTTTGGAGGAATTCTTCTCATCAATCCCATTGCTGCTTCCATAGCTATGGTTTTCCCTCTTGAAGAGAGAGAAATTGACAGAAATGATTTGGGGAAGTTTTAGAGAGAGAGAGAAAGAGGAAAATTGAGGAGGCGCCTTGGTTTGATCCGGGTTTCCCTCGCGGGAAAATTCTATTAAAAATTTGGATTAACCTTCTCTTTTTTTTTTCTCAAGAGTGGTCGAGTTGGTTAACTAGATAATTTGGGACAATTTAAACTCCAAATTTTATAGATATTTTTTTCGATCGAGCTTATTGCACAAAATCTAAATATAATAATTATTGCTTGAGTTAATTTCCTAAATGGTTATTCAAGTTTAGGGAATTGCCTTGAAATATAATTTATGTTTCATTTAAGACCAAAATATCATTCAATTATCACTATTTTCCTTCACATATAACACTTTAAAAGACTCACTCTCTCCAGGTACGGTTTTTACATGTTTCAATTGAGTTTTTTTTTTGTGTCATCTTCCTATTCGTCAAAGTTGAAGTTCCAAATTTGATTTGGGTGTGTGAATGTTTGCTTATTTTTCCATTTGGGTTTGTTATTGATGTTGGATTATCCTTTTGGTTGGGTGATTAAATTTGATCTAGGTGTGTGAATATACCAAATTTGATTTGGGTGTGTGAAAATTTGCTTCATTTTCCATGTTACAAAAGTCCCAATAATTTTAATCGATATGCTTTCAATTTTGGTTGGATGATTATGGTTTTCGTGTTGTATTTTGAATTCCCGTTTCAGATTTCTGTTGTGTTTTCTCATAAGCAGTAAATTTTTATTGTCTTTTCTCACATGTAGTAATTAATTTGGTCTTCAAATTTTACTTGGTGATTTATTTTAGTTGAATTTTCTTTATCATAACTCTTTTCAACTTTCTCCGTTCATATATGATTTTTTCCATCTGAATTAATTTTCTGGGTTTTTGTGATGTTTGATTTTCCTTGTGTTTGGCTAGTATGTATGGTAATATCAGTCAACTAACTAAAAATATACTATTATTATAGTCATTTACTTAAGAATATAGAAGCAAAATAAATGTGTTGACTATAGCCTATAATTCGATTTCCTTTGTTGTTTCTGTTTTTTTTATTCATCCAAAAATATGGAATTTATACATGTTTATATACTTTATATATATGTTAGTTTAGTTTTGAAGCAAAGTGCAAAGAGTATATATCTTAAGTGAAATATCACGAATAGTGTCATTTTTTTTGTCTTATCAAAGTTAGAAGTTTCATAATTGTAATAAATAAAATTTCGAATGATAAAAAATAACAACGAATGTGCAACAGAATGAGATAAAGGTGACAAACCTTCCATGATCACGTGTGCCAAGAAGACGGAGATTGACATTATCACTTATAATACACGGGCTCTACGAAGGAAGGAGTTGAGTTATGAGCGTTTTCAATATTATTTTTTTCTCGTATTTGTTCAATAAGAAATGCGAATTTGTACTTTTGTCCACTTTCTTCATCCCCTCAATCAAAATAATAATAAAAAAAAAGACGAGCTTGCTTCTTATTTCCGTATTTGATCTACTTCCTTTTTTGATTCCTCTTAAGTATATTTGTTAATTGTCCTAGAGATTTCTATAAATAAGTTCCTATCATATTATTGCTAGTGAAATGAGTGGTTTGGTTGGTGATGGGACATCTTGGGTCAACTTTCTCATGGTTACATCATTGGCCCAAGTGTGTGACTAGATTTGAAGGCATGCCTAGAGTATAATTTTAGCTTTAACTTTTTTATTTATTTATTTAGGACTCTAATTTAATTACAAGTGTTTGTATACATATACTAGTAAAGAAAGCTCGGGCGCTGCCCGGGCCCAACATTAATAAAGTTATATTGTTACTCTCTCCGTCCCATATTAGATGAGAATCTTACTAAAAAATGTTTTTCATATTATTTGAGCACTTATTAAATTAAGATAGAATTAATTAATTCTTTTCCATTTTACCCTACAATTAATATGACCATTCCTATATTGTATGTGTATTTTTTGTAACTCATTTCAATGTGCATTGATATAAACAAAGGGTAAAATGTTGAAGTCTTCCAAAGTATTAATGATTTCTTAATCACCGTGTAAAGTTGGAAGTGCCCATCTAATATGGGACGGAGAGAGTATAGTTTATGTATTGTTATAAAATTAGTAAAGATTGTTATAATAAATTTTGCTCATAAGTGAGCTCATATAAAAACTTATTTGTCATTTGTCTTTTTAATTTCAATTTCAAATAGCAAATAAATGTACCGATAAGTTTGAGGGTAGAAATGAAACATATCTTTCTAAATTTAAGTAAAAATAAACAGAGTAGAAGTAACATTAGGGTTATCGATAGGACGATTCATTCGGTTATTTTAAAAAAAATTATATCATTCAATTTTTCGGCTATTTTATAATGTATAACCAAAATTAAAATTTTAAAATCATCCCAATCCTAATTTATGTGACACAAGCAGTACAAAAACTAGTCTTTTTTTTGTTGTCTTGTAGATATTTTAAGTTATTATTTATTGTAAATTATAGTACTTTTTATTAAAGTTTTTAATAAACATATGTTACTTTTTATGTTTGAGAGTTAAACAATTTTTTTTTTATATGTCTTTTAATTTTATATGTGTTTTGTCCTTTTCCATTTTCAAAAACTAATACTCTGTCTATTTCATTTTATATGTCATTTCTTTTTATAAATATATTGGTTATTCCCTCTTCTTATGTCATATATTATGAAATTTGAGAAGTTATTGAAATTTTTATATGATTCTAAAAATATTTTAAATTGTTAGCTATTGTGATTTGTAGTACCTTTTTTTTACAGAATTTTGAAAATAATATTTATTACTCTCTTTGTTCTAATTTATGTGGCACATGCAAAATTTCAAATATTAACCATTTTTTATATGTCTCTTTACTATATTAAGTTGTTAATTATTGTATTTTATAGTACATTTTGAACTTAATTTTTAAAGAATATATGTTATTTTCCATGTCCCAATTTATGTGGCATTAATTGATAGATTTGTTGGAGTCAAGAGAATTTTTTTGTTAATTATTGTAATTTATAGTTTCTTTTTCGTCAATTTGAAACAATATATGTTCTTAATTGATAGATTTTTTGGAGCCGACAATTTTTTTTGTTAATTATTGTAATTTATAGTTTATTTTTCGTCAATTTCAAACAATATATGTTTATCATATAATCCATTTTATGTGGTAGCAATAGAATTTAGAGAGTCAATTAAATTTTTTATATAACTTTTAAATATTTAAGCTATTAATTATTGTAATGTATAGTATTACTTAGATTATTTTTGAATATAAATGTTACTTTTTTATCCTAATTTATATGGCATTGATAGAATTGAAAGTGTCAAATAATTGTTAATTATTGTAATATGATATGTAGTACTTTTTATGTAGTTTTTACTATTTTTAAGCATACTAAGTATAGTATTACTTATATTATTTTTAAATATATTTAAATCTAGTACTTATATATATATTTTTTTAGTAGATAAGTGTGAATGTGAGGGTATTTTTAACTACCCAAAATACCCTCACTTTCACACTTATCTAGTACTTATATTATACATTATATATATTATATAGTAATTTTATATATATTATATAGTAATATTTTTTTAGTAGATAAGTGTGAATGTGAGGGTATTTTTAAATACCCAAAATATCCTCACATTCACACTTATGTTCAACCCTCTCCTTTTTTTTGGTGCCACGTGTCGAAAGAGGAGTGAATTTATTCACTCTTCTTATATAGTAAAGTAATATTTCAAAAATTGATGATAATGAATCTATTTTTCTACTTTCCAATATTTAATTACTAGATTTTTTATCAACAACATATTTTATCATGATAAAAATTTGAACTTTATGAATTCAATTAATTTTACCATTAATTTCTATCAAATTTATTGAGTACAAAATGTATCATAATTCATATATACAAAATTAGTTAATTATAAGCCAAATTTTAAGTGTTCATCTTAATACATAATTAAAACATTGAATACATCCCTAGTTTCCTACCATTAACAATAGCACAACCTTTAAATGCTTGCATGTTCGATAAAAAAAAAATAGTGCCCTCCATTACATTTCATATAATAATGTTTTTATTGAACAAAATATAGAAAATATAGGAAGACTTTTAATCCCAAATCTAATATTATATTATATAGTATATACTAGTCAAACATTGGTACCAACACACTAAATGAGCGTTAAATATGAATTTTCACATCCCAACTCTTATTTCGTGAAAAAAAAGTTTGAGAGTAAGGGAAGAAGAAATAAAGAAGATTTATTAAATTAAAGAATCGAGCCTTTATTAAATAGTAACTCATCTCTAATTGATAATCAAATGATCCGGCTCGATAAATATAATAGTATAGTTAGTACTATATAACATATGTTGTTGTACTACATAATAAAATATAATACCGATAAGTTTATTCCAAAGAGAATATACTCACAAAAAATAGAAAAATAAATTGCCACCTTATAAAAAAAATAAAAAATTATTTATTTGTTTTATTGTTTTAAATAGCTCAAAATTTCATATTTTTAACGACCTTCCCTTTGGTTTTTCCTTTTCTCCATTGCCATAAAAATGGTGGAGATCACAGAAGCTTTCGCCGGCAGCGACGCCGACGAAGCGACTCCACTGTTATCGAATTTAAAACCTAACCTGAATCCGAACCCGCCAAACCGGACTAGATCCGTAAAGACGAAGGTCCCGGAGGTGGAGGTCCACCTGTACCGACGTGGCAAGGGCCCCATCGATGTATTCAAGGCATACCTTGGTGGGTGGGACCAGGATCAGCTCGATGTTAGGGAATTTCTCGACAAATACGGGTTCAAATCGGTTTATGCATTCAAGCCGGAAACGGGTCGGGGCGTTCCGATCCGGTTTAATCCACGTAATGGAAGATCGATTATTACTTATCGAGATGGATCCACCATTTACATTGATGGAGAACCTAAGGTAAAATTGGTGCAATTGGGAAGTTCTGTTTTTTGATTTAATAAAGTGTGCACTTTTATTCCCAAATTAGGTATAACTGAAATAATATTTAATTATTCGTATGAAATGAGAAAATA